AGATGTAGCTAGTTCACACCTACGACTGTCGTTGGCTCAAGTAAAAAGTTTCGTATGCATTCTGGCTGCTCTGCCTATAAACATATAAACCCTAAACCCCGCACGTTTAGGGCACGGTATTTCTTGGAAAAGAAAGCACCCTCAATAATTGCTTCCGGGAGTTGATGGTAATTCGGGTTTAGGGTTTAGTTAGGGTGTGGGGTTTAGGGTGTAGGCTTTAGGGCTTATAGGGTTTTTATTTAGGGCTTATAGGGTTTATATGTATATATATATATATACATATATATATATACATATATATATATATATATATATATACATATATGGTTTTGGGTTTTGGGTTATGGGGTTTTTAGGGTGTTGGGATTCGGGCTGCCATGCGACCCAATTCAGACCACGGCTGTAGGATGCACAATTGGGTGGCCCCGCCACCACCCCAAAACACCCGAACCCCTAAACCCTAAACCCTAAACCCTAAACCCTAAACCCTAAACCGTAGACCCTAAGCCCTAACCCAAACCCCGGAACACCGCAACTTCCTCGTGACGGCCTCACGGGCCTAGTCGCGATACAACCTTCAAATTCTGATTCCCAACACTGAAGCACACGGTTTAGGGTTTAGGGTTTAGGGTTTAGGGTTTAGGGTTGGACCTTAAAATACTAGTTCCTAAACCCGAAGACCCTACTCTAGGGTTCAGAGTTTGAGGTTTTGGGGGCAGGGTTTAGGGTTTATTGGGTTTAGGGTTTATAGAGTTTAGGGTTTAAAGAGTTTAGGGTTTAGGGTTTTGGGTTCAGGACTTCCAGAACCCCGAACCCCTAAAGTCTTTTACCCGGAAGCCCACAGCAAAGCTGTGGCATTGCGTGGTTTCGGGCGCAGGCACCTGCGTCTCCGAAGGCAACCCAGCCCGAGGCCACTTGTCTCAGTGGCGAGAGACCCTAAACCCTAAACCGGGTCCTACGTGCCCGTAGAAGGTAGGGTTTCCACAGTAGGAATTACTATCATGGTTTCGGGTTTAAAGTTTAGGGTTTGGGGTTGCAAGGCTTAGGGTTAGGAATTTCAGCTACGATTTGGGAAGGTTTCCCCCTATATCAGTACCTAGGACCTCATGGGTCATATTGAAAGTACGTTTGATATCACTTGGCGGTTCGGTTCGAGAGCACTTGATTACCTATGATCTGCGCTAGTAACCGTCTGACCATATGTTGAACCCTGAAGCCTGAACGCTAAACCCGCATATCGAGAAGTGTATCAAGAGAAAGAACGCTAAACCTGCTTGGAACTATCGTGACGACATTTCCACAGGAGCACGATACATCCCGACCTCGAAAGACCTCGACACTTGATCACCCATAAAAGGGTCGGAATAACTATAGCATACTATGACCTTGATCTGCTTACACTGTTCAATGGTTCAGGCCCTTACAGTGAACCCTAAGAAACTAAACCCTAAACCTTAAACCCTAACAAACCACGTTAAACCCATAAGAGCCCCTAAAGCAGCAAACTTGGAACCCCTAAACCCTAAACCCCTAAACAACTAACCCTCAAACCCTAAACCCTTTACACCAAACCTGGAACCCCTAAACCCGAAGATTTCAGGAATCTTTCATGGGAACCTCGTGAGTCAAGGGAGCCCAGTAAGCCCCTTTTCCCCAAACCCCTTAAAAACCTTCATCCTCCCATTCCTAAGCCCTAGGGCCCCTAAAGGATTTAGGGTTTCCCCTAAACCCTAAAACCCTAAACCCTAAACCCTAAACCCGAAGCCCTAAACCCTTAACCCTTAACCCTTAACCCTTAACCCTTAAACCCGAACCCTTAAACCCTAAACCCTAGACTTCTAATCCCGAGGCGCTAAAGCCCAAACCCTTGAACCGTAATAAGCCCTAACCCCCTAACCCTAACCCCCTAACCCTAAGCTCTTAAAGGAGCCCTTAAAGCAACCCTTAAACGAACCTCTGAAGGAGCCCTAAACCCTAAACCCTAAACCCTAAACCCTAAACCCCAAACCCCAAACCCTTAAACCCCAAACCCTTATAAACCCCAAACCCTTAGACCCTAAACCCTTAAACCCTAAACCCTTCAAGCAACCCTTTCAGGCCGGGTTCACCACCGAGGTTCCCCCCGCGCCCTCATCGCCCGCTGCCGTGCGGCGTGTTTCACTTCCGGCATCTGGGCCTTTCTTCGATTTCTGTGGATTGGGGTTCCTTAGTGGTTCCTTTAATGGCTCGTTTTGGTGGTTTAGAGTGCGGTTTAGTAGGTTCAAGAGTTTAGGGTTTGTTGTTATTTTTTTGTTGCTGGTTTCGGAAGGGAGGGGGGGAGTGAGGGTTTCGCGGTTTAGGGTTCAGGGGTTTAGGGTTTACGGTCTTTTTAAGGTTGAAGGTTGTTTTTGCATACTTGTTGGTTGTATGTGTGTGTGTGTGTGGCTTTTTGGAGGGGGGTTGGGGAGGGGTTTGAGGATTAGATGTGAAGGGGCATTTGCGTTCACGGAGTTGGGGGTCCAGGGTCCTAAACCCTAAACCCTACACTCCCTGCGCCCTAAACCCTAAACCCTAAACCCCCTAAACCCTAAACCCTCTAAACCCTAAACCCCAAAGCCTGGGGCGTGGGAACTTGGAGGACATGAGGACTGGGAGACTTTGCTCTTGGACGCTTCAGGTCTGCAGCTTCACTGGCCCTGGGGGGTTGGAACCGGGCCCAAGTAGCCTTTATTGGTTTAGGGTTTGGGGTTTAGGGAATTTTAGGGTTAGGGTTTAGGGTTTTTGCAAAAATCCATGCCTAGTTTGTGGCTTGGGGTGCAGGATTGCTCATTCAATTCGGAACCAATATTATAGCACAACGCCGCTTCTTCATGGCTTGATCTCCTAACATAATGTAGGGTTTAGGGTTTAGGGTTTGGTTGACCCCACAACTTCCAGGCGAATCTTCTTGACGTCAGAGCTTGCAAAGCCTGATGTTTGTTCGCCTCTCTGCGGCCGGTAGTGCTCATCAACGCGAAGCCTTCAACTTCACGAATCCCTAAAATTAGGGTCTATCTTAAGGGTCCTTTTTATAAGCGTGCCGCACTGTTTTGGGGACGTCAAAGGGACCCTAATTTAGAGAACTACTCCCATGGACCAGGTTCCGCCATGCTACCAGAAATTCAGAAAATCAGGATTCGACTCTGGGTTTCCTGAAGCTCTAATAAAGGGGCCTAAATAATTTCCTCTACTATTTGGGGGGCTCCTTGTTATACTTATATATAATATCACCCAAAACCCTATTCTAATTACCAAGGCCCCTACGTTATCTGGGTTGAGAAGGGCTCTATCCAAAGATTTCTGCGGGTGTGCATATAGACGCCTAAATGACTTGCGAACTTTATTCCTCAGGGTTCCCTATGAAGGCTACACCTCTCCATACCTTAAACCCCAAAACCCTATATCCCCAAACCCTATAAGCCCCAAAACCGTATATACCCTAAACCCGAAACCCCAACATGCTATTCTAATTGTTGCGGCACCTAGTTATAGAACCCTCAAAGGAACCCTTAAAGCACACTGCAATGACTCCAAAGCCCTGTTCTACTTGTTCCGGCGCCTATATTCCCTAACTCCCTAAAGCCCAAAGCCCTATATACCCAATAAATACCCTAAACCTTAAACACTGGCTTCAACAGGAAGAGGTCGAGAGCCAGTCTGAAGAGCCTGTGCCGCTACTTGACCTGCGAGCGCTTGCGCAGGGTTTTATGGATCTAGGGCGTAGGCTTTAGAATTTGGAGTGTGTATGCTGTGTAGGCAGTGGGTGCGCCTTTTACTTCAGGAGTAGGGGCGCACACACTTATCGCGCGCTAGCATCATCTTGTGTCCCGCCGCAACCACCCCAAATATTTTCAATTAGGGTTTAGGGCTCACCCCCGAAACCCCCTTCAAGAGGGGCATTCTTGCTCTCTGCTTCCCTTCGATTTTTATGAGCCTTTCACAGCAAACCACAGCTGAGATGGATTGGTGTGGATACTCGCCGTTCGACGAGAAGCCACAGCTTGCCCCTCGCACCCTGTGATCGTCGTCGCTCGAAGTGTAAACTTATCTCTGGTAGGAAGGCTCTGGCACCTGGCATGTGAGCTGTGAGATTTCTCGTCTTTTGTTGAAACTTTGGCAGGTCGCCCAGCCCAGGAGGTACTGGGAGGCCCAGGACGGGCCCACCGGAAATAGGAATTTGCCAGCCTGGGCACCCATCCCAGACCTCCATCGCCCCTCCACGGTGAGGGATTTGGGATTTTTCTTTATTGCCTGACGGCAAAGAGGTCATGAATGGGGTGGCGTTACTACAGTCCTCGTATACCGGGGGGCTTTACCCTCCCTCGCCGTTCTGACGGGACGCTTTGGCCTCGAGCGCCCATGTAAATGGTCAGCAGTTTAGGTGTTTAGGGTTCAGGGATTTAGGGGCTTAAGGGCTGTAGGTTTAGGGATTGCTTCAGGAGGAGTTCCGGACTGGGTTCTGGGTGGCTATTTTGGATGCAATTTCAATGTGATCTCCGCAGCTGGAAGTTTGATTTTTGGGCCTTCGCTCTGCTAGACAAGAGCCCAAGCTCTGTATAGTTTAGACGTGTGAGCTTTACCTCTGAAATCTGCGGGTCTGGCGGCCCTTTGGGAGACTTTACAAAAACCGATCATAATAAACCCCATTAGTAACCCTTGCATAGAAGCCCTTGTAGCTTGTATAACCCCAACAAGACTTTTATACCATCCTATTCAAGCTCTGTAGAGAAAGCCTATGGACTCAGTGACACGTCTTTCCCACCTCTTTGCATTTTCCTAAAACCGCTATGAAACTCAACTCCACAAGCATCTTTCCTGGGGTCGGTAAGGCTGCCTCCGCGGGACCTCATGACCCGCTCGAAGCGAGGTCGGAGTCTGACTTATGATAGAACGGGTTTAGGATTTGGGGTTTGAGGTTTCGGGTTATGGTGGTTTAAGGGCTTAGGAGTTAAGTGTGTTTCGGGCTTGAGGGGTTAAGGGTTTGCAGTCCAAGGGTTCAGGGGCTTAGGATGTTGAGGTCTCAGGATTTCGAGGTCACGGGGCTTAGAGGTTGCGGGTTTGGGCTATAAGGGTGTAGGATGTTAATGGCTTAGGACTTAGAATTTGGGTTTGGGGACTCTGCTCTTAAGAGTGGGGCTTAAGGTCCAGGGTTTCACATGTTTGACAGTGTCACGACTTGACGGGAGTACTGGAGTCAGCTTTGCACCACCTTGCGGTGATTGGATGATGCTGAACAGAGTTTGATTAATCCTTTATAGTCCCTATAATATAACTGCGGAATAATCTACCCCAAACTGCAGAGGAAAGCATCAAGGCCACTATATGAGCGACCACGGTTATTTAGTCTTCTTGTGTTAAGAGTACAGACGGACATGGTAATACGAGTTTTGCTAGCATTACTTGGGGAACGAGATAGGGCCCG